GGGGGGGGGGGAGGCAGGCATCGCCCGCGACCGTGCTCTGCTCTTCCACATCGTGAGGATGCACAACAGGAAGGCCGGGCCGAGCAAGGCGCTGGAACGATTGGGACGAGGACGACGAGGATGTAGGTCCTGCGAGATCAAGGGGTTTGAGGAACGGACGGTGGTTGAAACATGATTGAAGTCGCTTGTTATTGGGTGGGCCTGGGCACGCGAGGCGAGATATAGCGTCAGTGGGCGGACGATGGGGTACTCGATGGGGTACGAGGCGAGCGCGAGTGGGTCGGATGGTGTGCAACCCAACCCATAAAGGGGGGGAGGGGGCGGGGGGGGGCGTGACGCGAGCAGTTGGTAGGCCAACCATTTCGCCGATTCAAGGAAGTTTTGCGGAAAAGGGGCGTGGCCTTACAGAATGGGCGGCGGGAGGGCGGTTGCACGCCGCGAGCGTGGTACACCTCTCCCTGTCGCGCGTTCCACGTACACACACGAGTTGTTCAAAGCCGTACACATGCAGCAGGTGCTTGTTCTTCTTCTTGCCACACTGGTCATCCTCGGCTCTGTGGCACCTTTGACCACGGGCAGGTCTGTGCCCGATGCCGGCGAAGCCGTGGTGGTTGGCGACGTGCGGCATGGTGGGCTCGGGGCGGAGCCTGACTGGGAAAAGTGCGTGCACATCCACGACGTGGGCGAGGCATGCGTGGAGCTGATGGTCAACACGTCGACGCTCAGCATCGAAGTGGCGGTGACGATCGACAACAAGACTGTGCTCGAGAAGACGTTCTCGGGCAACTCGCTCTGCGTCGACACCGACACGCTCATCGAGGTGCTCGAGGCGGTGTGCATTCCGTGTCTGCCGATCCTCAAGATCATCAAGGAAGTCTTTGACCATATCCCGGCCAAGATTCTCTCGATGTGCGTGGAGCTCGAGGACGTGGTCTACCACCACACGGCTCACCCGCCGTACGTTGCCGGCAACGTCTCGCTCGTCTCCAACATCCTCTGTTGGCACGACAAATGCATTTACTCTGACGATGATCACCTCGGGTCGTTCCATATCGACACGTAGGCGCCACGATTTCCGCATTGGCGGAGCAGGCACCCGAAAAGCGAGATGTAAATCAGCTTCAGAGCGGCGAAGAGAGGTTGGATGGAGGGCGAGGACGTGGCGGCCAAACTCCCCTACGATTCAGTCTTTCATTAGGCTTGACAGTATGAGCAATGATCGTGCCGATTGGCACAGATACCCGCGTGTAGATGAGCTGCAGCCTCACAGTCGTGCTCACGTGAGACCAAGGTCGTCATCGATGTGCATCGCCATCAAAACGACGAGTGGGAGCCAGTAGCTTCGCTTCGGCCCGCCGGCCGTGAGTGGTAGGGAAAGACGACGTGCGACAGCACCTCTCTCGGTTCATCACGGTCTCGCCTGGTATGGCAGCGTTTGACGAGGAAGCGCTCGCGGGGCTCCCGCCGTTCTGTGTACGGGCCCTGGCCGACCTCGTGCTCGCCTCCGATCATAGGGCGTACCAGGTGGCGGTGGCGGTGGCGCAGCTCCAGGAGCGGGTGGAGACGGAGCTCGCTCTGGAGCGCAAGAAGGCAGCGGAGACAGCGGGGCGGCCGGCGGCGGCGCAGGAGCGGGGAGATACACCGGAGACGCTGGAAGAGCGGATGGCCGCACGAGCTGGTCGGGCGCGCGAGCTGAAGGCACAGGCTGTGGCGGCCAAGAGCGCGGCACGGGCGTTTGACGCCTCTGTGGTGCTCCCGACGTGGGACGGGCTCGCGCTCGCGCAGTGGGCAGCTCTCGCAGAGGCAGGCATCCCACCGTTTGCACCGATGCCTCGCGGGCTTGCAGAGCTCGCGGCTGCGCGGCATCCGGACCCGCACCTCCCACAGACGGAGCTCGAGGCGCTCGGGTTATCAGCGTCTCATCGCAAGGCTGAGAGGTCGAGCTTGGCGGTGGAGGCGGTGGCTTGGGGAGACTACATGGACGACGGCGACCGCGAGGTACAAGAGGCGATGCTCTCTGCGCTACTCACTCATGGGGCGCCGGGCTCAAAGGCGCTGGCAGAGCCGCTCGAATTCCGCGGAGCGTGCGCGCGCGTGTCTGCCGGGGTCTCGGCGGCGTCGATCACGGCGTCGATGAACGCGCTCCGCTCGCTCCGGCGGCGGTAGTAGTCTGGCGGCGGGCAGGCACCCGACTTTGGTTGTAGGTCAGGTGGAGACAGAGCCTGGGGGAGGGGTGGAGGCACACCCCCTAGGGTGAGGCAGATCGTGGCGATGGAGAGGAGAGCGGGCGAATGCCGTGGGGGCCAGGTGTGTGCATGGCGCTCCGCCTCGTGGCCTGCCGTCCCTCTTGTCCGGAGGCGGTACGATGCGGCGAGGCGCGAGGGTAGAACGAGGGCAGCGAGCGTGATGCGGTGCGCTGCGGTGAGGCGAGGCATGCTTTGAGCGCGCAGCGCAGGTGCCCCACGATCCCCACATCGGCGCCAAAGGCACCCGACCGGTGAGATGTAAGCGCCGTTAACGGTGCGCACCCCCTAGTGGTCCGATGTAAAGCAGCCGTAGAGTGGCAGGTCTCCGCCGCAGCAAAGTGGAGTGGAGCGCAGCATGCCAGGATCGGCTCCCCAGCAGGAAATCGGGATGTAGGGCCCACTGGGGTACATTTGATCGGATGCAGATGGTGGCGACGCGGGCGGGGGGGGGGGGGGGGGGGAGTAGACTAAATCCTGGACATCACTGGGCAATCCGGTGCCGAGATGTGTGCAAGGCGGTCGACGGCGGGAAGTCGGGAAGTCGGGCAAGAAGGACACATCGGGCTTGGAGTCAGACTTGTCTCGTGTGTGATGGGCGACGACGATCCGGGTGCGCTTGCACTCGTTGCGCTTACTGTGCAGAACGAGGTGCTCCGGAGGCAAAACGCGGAGCTGCGAGAGGCGATTGCCGGTGATGATGGCGACGACGAGGCAGCGGGCATGATCGCGGGCGGGGTGGTGGAGGGATCGGCGCGGCGGTGCGGCGAGTGCGAGCGTGCCCGCGGCGAGACACTGCGTGCGCTAGCAGAAGTGGCGGCGGTCCGCGAGCGGCAGGCGGCGACAGCGGCGCTGGCGCAGCAAGTGGCGTACCCGATGGCGGAGGCGCTTACCGCAGCCAGGGCGGCGGCGGCGGAGGCTAACGCTCTCGCTTCCAAACTCGGCGACGAGGTCGTTGCCCTCCAAACGCAGCTTGTCCGCGAGCGTGAGGCTGCGGCCGCGGAGCTCGCGGCGCAGCGTGCCGAGCTCACGGCGGCAGCGGCGGCGGATCGAGCGGCGGCAGACGCCGACCACGCGCGGCTCGCTGGCGAAGTCGCCCGCATCCGCAGCATGCTCGGCAGGCTGCGGGCGGCGGGGGCGGGGGCGGAGGCGGGGTCCGGGGCGGGGCTGTGACTTGTCTCAGGCATGGCAGCTCCAGACGCGCCTGTCCTGGCAGGGGTGACGGTGGTGGAGCTCGGCGGGCTCGCGCCGGTTCCGTTTGCCGGCATGATGCTCGCTGACTTTGGAGCAGAGGTGGTGCGTGTGGACCGTGTGGGCGGCGGCATGTCGGCGGGCATGGACAGCCTCGTGCGCGGCAAGCGGTCGGTCGCGGTGGACCTGCGGTCGCGCAACGGGCGCGACGTGCTGCTCAGACTGGTGAGCAAGGCAGACGTGCTGCTCGACCCGTTCCGGCCAGGAGTCCTCGAATCGCTTGGGCTGAGCCCGGAGACGCTGCATGCGAGCAACAGCAGGCTCATCATTGTCCGGGTAACCGGATACGGGCAGAGCGGCGAGCGAGCGCAGGAGGCCGGACACGACATCAACTACGTGGCAGCGTCAGGCGTGCTATCGATGCTCGGCAAGGCGCCAGACAGCCCGCAGCCGCCGCTCAATCTGCTCGCCGACTTTGCCGGCGGCGGGCTCATGGCCGTGGTCGGGGTTCTCCTCGGACTGGCGCGGCGGAGCGCAGCGCAAGGGCACGGCTCGGTGGTGGAGGTGTCGATGGCGGACGCGGTGAGGTACCTCGCAGCGTTTGCGGTGGCCAACAGGCCAACGCTGTTCAGTAGAGCGCGCGGCAGCAACGTCCTCGACAGCGGCGCGCACTTTTACAACGTCTATGGCACGCGCGACGGGCGATTCGTGGCGGTCGGGGCCATCGAGCCGCAGTTCTACGCGGCGCTCCTCGACGGGCTCGGACTTGATGCAAAGCACCTCCCGGACCAGAATGACGCGAGCGGGTGGCCGGCCATGACAACGCTCTTCCAACGGCTCTTTGCCACGCGAGACCTCGCAGAGTGGCTCGAGGTGTTTCACGGAACCGACGCGTGCGTCACCGCAGTTGCCGAACTCGACGGCGACGTCGCCGTAGAGCCGTGTCCAAAACTCAGCGGCGTTGCACACCCGGCATCGACCAAGCAGCAGCTGCAGAGCAGACTGCGCCTCGGTGCTGGAGTACACTCGCGCGACATACTCCGGAGCCTCGGGTACGATGAGGCGGAGATCGAGGAGATGGTGGTGGAGGGGGTCATTGGATCGCGATTGTGATGTTTGGCATACAGACCCGTAGCAAGAACTCTCCTGATGTGGTAAACAGGGAAGCGATGCAGTACACACAACACGACAATATTGCCAGCTCCCCCCAACACAAACACACCACACGTCCCCCCATCCCCCCCACACACACACCCTCCCGCCCAGGGTCTGGCCCTGGGCAAAAAAACACGTCGCGGACATGATTCGAACATGCGCGCTCAGAGAGCAATCGCTGGTTAGAAGGATGGGATGGTATCAGGAGGAAATCCTGGAGTTATCGCCAAGAATTGAACTCGTGACCCGTCCCAGCCAAATTCTAAACGATCCCCTTAACCACTCGGGCACCGCGACCTGTGCTTGTAGAAAGGAGAGCAGGGGAGGGGTTTTGACTGGTACATTGCATTGGGGCACCGGTCTTGGACGAGTGCGGCGGCAGGGGGGCGTGCGCATGGCGTGGACGTTGTACTATTGTGTGGTGTATAGGTAGATAAGGTTGTACGAGCGGTGGTGGAGAGTTCCGAGCATGCGTGTGCGTTCCTGGGTTGTGTGGGAGGGGGCGCGGCGCGAGGTGGCAGTTTGTCATTTGGCGGCTGTGCGGAAGGCGCTTTCGCCCATTGTCCACTAGTTACCACCCTCTACATCTGCAGCATCCCGATTCATCCCACACTTCCGGGCTTCCCTTGCATTCCGACCAGCAGCTTGAGTCCTGAGCCTGATCAAGCATTGGAAGGTACGTGCCGCTGATGAGCACTGCATCACGCCCGCTGCGCTTGCTCTACTCCTACATCTTGTCACGACGGCGCGCCAACTATCGCGCCTGCTACGCTTGCTCTACTCTCCCGTCTCGCCGCATCACGGTTGTTGCCTTTGCTTATATCAAGCACGAGGTATCTGTATTGGAGTTTAACGTGGAGCTAAGCCAGTGTTTGCATAGGATGACGTCTTCCGCAGCAAGCATGGTTGATCGCTCAGTTCCAGAGATCTGTCATGGCAAAGGTGACCGCGGGCACAAGAAGTCCACTCGCTTTGTCTGCCTGAAGGACGCGATCGAGGCCATCTGACACCTGCAACTGACATGCAGTCGTATGGAGTGTGTCAGACACTCTGCTTTGTTTACCTGGCCGCTTCGATCTGCTCTGCTCACCCGGCCACTCCGCTCCGCTACATCCTGCTACGCTCCGCCACGCTCCGCTACGACCCGCTACGCTCCGCGACGCTCCGCGACGCTCACCTAGCAACTCAACTGGCTGCTTTTGCTCCGTTCTGCATCGCTCCGCTCAGCCAATCATGGCAAATACTTTATCTTAAAATACTGCCACGCCGGCATATGACCGTCTAGTACGAGCGGCCAAAGTTAGCATACGCAGTCGCGGCATTGTCGCAGGCAAAGCACTTTGCGCCGCCCATGTCGGCGCCAGCGAGATCGAGGGGGAGGCAGAGCGACTTGGCTGCGCCAGAGAGGGCGGGGCCCTCGCCGTCGGGGGAGGTGGTGTCCGACGCCGCCGCCTTGGCCGCCGCCGAGGAGCGCGCCTTGATGTCAAGCTCGCACTCGACCCGCTCGCACCAGGGAACCTGCGCGTACTTGAGCCCGTTGATTGCCTCCATAAAGTCATCCCAGTTGTCAACCACTGCCTTGCAGTTGTTGGCGCGCTCAGTCGCCTGGATGAGCATGTTGGCCTGGATGTTCTCGAGCATGTCAGCCGTCGTTGCGCCGATGTTGTCCTGCGAAACCGTGGACTTTGTGAGCGTGTCGCGGCGGACAAAGACACACACGTTGTTCTCCATGTCGCGGGCCCCGATCTCGACCCGGAGCGGAACGCCCTTCATCTCCCAGTGGTTGTACTTCCATCCGGCAGTCACGTTGTCGCGGACGTCCGGGTTGACACGCACGCCGGCCGCGCGCATCGAGTCGGCGATGCGGTTGATGGCCGCAACGAGCTCGGCAGCATCGATCTTCTTCGAGTAGATCGGGACGATAACAACCTGGATGGGCGCGATGCGGGGCGGGAGCCGGAGGCCGTGGTCGTCGCCGTGGACCATGACAAGCGTGCCGATCGAGCGCGTCGAAAGGCCCCACGAGTTCTGCCAGATGTACGAGTGCTGCGACGGGTCGTTCGGGTCCTGGAACTTGATGTCAAACATGTGCGCAAAGTTCTGCCCGAGGTGATGCGAGGTGGCCGCCTGGATGGCCCGCCCGGTGTCGGGGACAAACACTTCGGTTGTCGTCGTGTAGTCACCGCCGGCAAACTTCTCCTTCTCAGACTTCTTGCCCTTAGTCACCGGGATCGCCATGAGCTCCTCATACACAGACGCGTACACATCAAGGATCTGGTACACTTCCTCATCTGCAGACTCAAACGTGGCGTGCGCCGTGTGGCCCTCCTGCCACAGGAACTCACGCGACCGGATAAACGGCGTCGGCGAGCTGAACTCCCACCGGACCACAGAGCACCACTGGTTGAGCCGGAGCGGCAGGTCGCGGTGCGACTTGACCCACCTGACAAACGAGGGGTAGATGACCGTCTCCGACGTCGGCCGGATGGCGATGGGCTCCGCGAGGTCCGACGACCCGGCCCGAGTAACCCACGCAACCTCGGGCGCAAAGCCCTCGATGTGGTCCTTCTCCTTGGTGAGGTATGCCTCGGGGATGAACATCGGGAAGTAGCAGTTCTGCACTCCGAGCTCCTTGAACCGCGAATCGCACCACGCCTGGATCTGCTCCCAGATGGCAAACGCCCACGGCCGGAGGATGTAGCAGCCGGACACATCGTAGTAATCGATCATCTCTGCCTTGACCACAAGCTCCGAGTACCACGTGCTAAAGTCCTCCTCCTTGGTGGTGCCCAGCCCGAGCTTGGTAACCTGGGGGTGCGTGGGAGGTGTGGGGGAAAGGAGGTTGAGGTGTGAGTGAAAAGAAATCCATCGTTTGCGGGGAAGGGGGGGGGGATGGGGGGGATGGGGGGGGAGGGGAGGGAGGGAGGGAGGGAGGGATGGAGGGAGAGGCGTGTGCATGTGTATGTGTGTGCGTGTGCGTGTGCGTGTGTGTGTGTGTGTGTGCGTACCTTCTTGGCCTTGCCACCCTTGCCACCCTTGCCACCCTTGCCGCCCTTGCCGCTCTTGCCGCCCTTGCCGCCCTTGCCACCCTTGCCGCCCTTGCCCTTCTTGCCAGGGCCCTGCGGCTGCTTGGGCGGCTTGCCCTCAAAGGTCAGCCCGCGACTCATGTAGTAGTATCCAATGCCCGACATCTCGAAGAGTTGCTCGAAGAAACGGTGAGGTGTGGTGCCGTGTAGCCGTGAAGAGACCGTGCTGGCTCTTGTCGTGTTTTGTGGCAGCCAGAGCCGTTCCCTGTGTCATTCGATGGCCTTCGTTGCGGCTTCGAGGCGGAGGGGGAAGGGGGGGGGGGGGGGGAATAGCGGGGAGGCAAAATGAAAGTGTTCACGTTAGGCTAGCTAGCGACGATGCCAATTAGATCGGAAGGTTAAAGTGGCCAAGGAAGTTGTTGCCCTTGTAGACGCAATGGCTCTCCCAGCAGAGGATGGTGGCGTCGAGGTAGACGTCGCCGGAGACGGACGACGAGGTAAAGTCGAGGTTCTCAAAGTCAACGCAGAGCGAGAGGACCGACGCCGGGATGTACTTGAGCGCGGCCTTGATGGCGTCGATGACCGGGATGCAGACCGCGCAGACGGCCTCGAGGACGTCGAGCAGGTCGTTGGTGTTGACGCACACCTGGTTGCCAGAAACAGTCTCCGAGAGGACAACCTCGCCGTCGACGGTGATGTCGATCTCCAGGCTGAGGGGCGAGGGATTGGCAGTGAGGACAACGCAAACGGGGCCAATGGCGGGGATGTTGATGCACCCGGACCAGGTGTAGTTGGACGTGAGTCCGCCGAGGCGGGCGGTGCGAACAACGGCGGCGGCGGCCTCGGCCTGCTTGGCTGCGACATCAAGGTTGACTGGCGTGGTCAGCCGCACGTCTGCGACAGCACGCTCGGTGACTGCGCCAAGCGACGGCGCGGCAAGGACGGCGGTGGCAATGGTGACCGCAACGGCGAGGGCGAGGGTAAGCTTCATGGGCTTGAGGAAGTCGGGTGTGTGGGGTGTGTGTGTGGGAATGTTGGTCAGTGTGACTTAGGCATGCCAATTTAGAGCAATTGTTGCCGCGACTGAACGTGGCCCACACACCTGCTCCGCCTGGACACAGCCGAGTGTCACGATGCGGTACAGAGCGAGGGCGATGATCTTGAACTGGTGGACATGTTGTACAGTAGTGACGACAGGTAGCAGCTGATCAATCTTGAGCTCACACCCATCGACCACAGGATCTGCCCCACCCATTGTCATAGACCTGTTGCTACTCTCAAGTGACTCACGCCCTGCCGGGACACAGATGAGCGGCTCACACCCTGCCGGCACAAACCCTGGCAGCGCACACCCCACCCCGTCAGTGAGGTGGGCGGCCGAAATCGATATCAAATTCAAGCTTGTCGGCCGAGATCGACGTTCACGCTGACGCACGGTCCACGCTGCGGACTGACCAGCCCTTGGTCTGCTGGCGCACCCACTACGTCGACGACGCCACAAACCAGCCCTTGCCACGAATGCTGCTCCACTCGCGCGCTCCAAGGTCAAGCTCGACGCTACCAGCCAGGATCGAGATCGACGGCTGCGTGACGAGGCTGAGATCGCCGGTTCGAACAACCGGATCGCCGTCGGCCAGAGCCTGGACCTCATCGAGCTGAACGACGACCTTCTCACCGCCGCGCACCACCACCCACGCTCGGGGCTTGGTATCCAGCGCCTTGCCCTCGTCTTCGTTGCGGCTGTCGGTTTCGGCCGCAGCCGCGGGCTCGGCTTCCACCGCGCGTCCACGCCGGCCCTTGAGCGATCGCGACGAGACAGAGCCTGCGCGCGAGCGCATCGACCCGACCGCTTTGGCTGCCACCGCCGCCTCCGGGGGGGGAGCCTCCTTCTTCTTGCTCCGCGGCTTGGAGCCAAGGAACAGCAGCGCCGCGGAGCTGTCGTCGACAGCGGCCATCGCCACCGGTCCATCCAGCCGCCGCAGCAGCTCAGACGTGTAGACCCCGACAACATGCGGCGCGTCGACGTAGCTAGAGACAGCCTCCCACGACGCAAGCCGCGACGACGACGAAGACGCCGCCGCCGCCGCCGGCGCGCTGCTTCTCGTCGGTGTCGTCGGCAAAGGGGTCGAGACGCTGGCGCGCCCACGCTTGGACGACGTCGTCGCAGCCGCAGTCTCGGCCTCCGTCCCAGGCCACTCAATAGAGTAGCCGGCGACAGCGCTTGCCGCTGTCGCACTGCTGCCGCTGCGGCCAAGGAGCGGCCGAACCGACGTCGAGCCCTCACCCTCGACTGCCCAGCTCATGACGACAATCATGTCGGCCGCAGCTTCGCGGACAGCGGCAAAGACCCTTGAGCCGCCACCTGCAGTCGCCACCTTCTCGACTGTCATCGTAGCCGGAACCGCAGCCTGCACCGCCTCGCCCGACGCCACATGCTTCGGGTTCGGCTCGGAAAAGTGGCAAACCACAGAGCGCTCGCCGCCAGGAACAAGCGGCATCCGAACCAAGGCCCGCCGCGGGACGAGCGCAGACTGAGCGCTTGGCGCATCAAGAAAGAGGCTCTGCGAGTGCTCGCCAAAGTACACAAACGACCGCCCGAGCTCGCCGTCTTCCGCCCACGCCACCGCCGGCGAGATAACGCTAAGCGAGACAAGCCGCTCGAGCCCCGGCGAGGCCACAACAGGCAGCACAGTGACTACCGGTGACCGCGCCCCGCCGAGCTCCACGACAACAAACGCTGGCGAGCCTGGAACAGCTGCAGAGTGCAGTCGGCCATCACCTGTCACCCCAAAGGCAGCGCCGCTCGGCTGGAACTCGCCGCGCGCCACGGCACCACCAAGCACCTCGTCCATCGTGGCCGGATCGACGACCGCCTCGCCGGCGCCGCTCGGCAGCTCACCATAAAGAAGAACACAGGCCTTGCGTGAGCCGCCCGGCTGCCATCCACTACCCACCAGCTTGGCCGTGCCAGCCTTGAGGCCATGCGGGACCCGAGCAGCAGGCACGCTCAGTCCGCCCGCCCGCGTAAAGCCGAGGAAGCCGAGCTCCTTGGGAGTGACCGGGTCAAGCCACACCGCCCACCGCAGTGACGTGGGCCGCCCGTCTCCACATGCCACCACCACCGGCGCGAGCGGCCGGGAAAGCAGCGCTGGCGTCATCCGCCACGACGGCACGGCCGGAAACGGCTCGTTGGCGAGCAGGGCGCTCACTTCAGACTTGCGCGACGCCCGGCCTGCCAGATAGAGCGCAAAGGGTGACGGCGCGTCTGGCGATGCACTCCATGCCGGCGCTGTCGGATGCCGTACGCCCGGCGGGTCCGGAAACGTCGGCAGCCGGGAAGGAAGCCCGTTCCACACCTTGACTTGAGCCAGAGCCGCCTCAAACGCGCGCATCGCCTCGCGGACGTTGGATGACGACGACGCCGGCCAGCCCTCGGCCTCGAGGACAGCCTCGAGGGCAGCGGCGGCCGCCTGCGCGTGCGCCAGCGCTTGAGGTGCGTAGACGAGCTTGACCTCTGGCATGAACGCCTTGCTAACAAGCGAGACCCGGAGGTCGGTCGCCTCACCGTTGGCGCCCGTCACCACCCGCCACACCTGCTCCACCGCCAGCTCGCTCCGCGCCCCGCGGTTGATGAGGTGAGCGTACGCCGACGCATATGCCGACGCAGCTTCAGGGGTTAGCGCCGCCACCGGCCTGGGCTGGCCTGCTGCGTCGGCGGCGTCGAGAGTTCCAGCCTCGCCACCATGGTCAGCGCCGTCGCCAGGCGCCGGCGCGCTCGACCGCACGCCGCGCTTGCCGCGCGAGCGGTGGCCAGAACCGCTGCTAGCACCCGCCACGGGTCCACCTGCGCCCGTCGCGCCCATCGCCTCGGGCGAGTCTGCTTCTGCCGCGAGCGCCACCGACGGCGCCACCAGCGTCGGCTGCGGCATGCCGCACGTCACCATCTTGCCCTGCAGGACGTAGACGCGGTCAGCAGCCGAGGCAGTGATGACACGGACGGCATGAGCCGCGACGGCAAAGGCCAGCTGAGTCACCGCGGTAAAGCCATCATCATGGCCGCTGTTGTGGTCGTTGTGGTCATGGTCGTGGCCATGGTACGTCAGTTCAAGGCTGTAGTTGTCGGGCGGAAGTGCACGCGGAGCATCGGGAACGAGCGCAGCAAGCGGAATGACTACACGCAATGGAGTCGCCGGAGGCACAGTGACACTTGATGGCGCTGGCGGGAAGTAGCCTGCTGGGTGTGAGGCAAAGGTGGTCGAGGTCGAGAGAGCCGACAGGCGGGCCGAGAAGCTGCCAGAGAGTGGAACCGCATAGCCTGCAGGCGGGGTCACGACGGCAGTGACAAGGATTTGTGACGTAGGTGATGGTTGTTGCGGTCGTAGTTGTGCTGTGAGCATGACTGCAAGGGGTGGGGGGTGGGTGGGGTGGGGGGGTGTGTGTGTGTGTGTGTGTGTGAAGTGGGCGTTGGTCGGTGGGGCGGTAAGCGGTGGCGGTTTGGTGGGCGCGACACGGCGGCTGGCCAATGGTCAGTCGAGCCCATCCGGCGAGGTGGAGCGGAGCGGGCCGTGGTGGTGGTGGTGGTAGGGAGTAGGAGGGTAGGGATAGGCAAGTGGGGGGGGGGGGAAGGAAGCAACACTTGACGCAAGGGAATGCTGCGACTGCCTGTTGTAACCCAAGCTGTAGCGTGTGCCGCAAGGGCTGCGGGCTGTGGGCTGCGCGGCTACACGGGGCCGGCGCCGTCGGTCCGGACCCGGCGCGAGCCGGTGCAGACGCACTACTACACCAACGTGCTGACTGAGGCTGTAGAGTCGCTCCCGCCGATCGTGGGAAGCGAGACCGACGCGACGCGGGCGCTCGAGGCGGTCCGCGCGCTGGGCGAGGCGCGTGCGCCGGTTACGGGGCGGACCCTCGCCCAGCTGCTCCGACTGTGCTTCAAGGTCGGCGAGGGTGAGTCGGCCAAGGCTGTCTTTGCCGCGTACGGCAAGGTCGACGGGGTGGAAGCGACGGCGGACGAGGTTGGGACGGCTGTGCTCGACGCGGACCTGCGGGTCAAGGCGCGGTTTGCCGCCAACGCCTCGCACTACACCCTGATGGTCGTGGGCCTCGCCCGCCTCGGCGACCTCGACGGCGCCACCGCCGTCTTTGATGCCATGAAGCGCTCCGCCAAGTCGGTGCCGGTCCAGGTCTACGGCTCGCTCATTGCCGGCCATGCGCGCGCAGGCGCGTTTGAGGAGGCGCACGGCCTCCTCGGCGAGGTGCTCGAGTCCGGCGCCGAGCCCAACGCCGTCATTTACACCGCGCTCATCGACGGGTACGGTAAGCGCGGCCAGCTCGACGCCGCGCGCGAGCTGTTCGACGCCATGGAGGGCACCGGGGTGGCCCCGACCGAGGTCACCTACACCGCGATGATCAACAACACGGCCGCAGCCGGTGAGTGGGACGAGGCCTGGGCGCTGGTTGACGCCATGGGCTCTCGCGGCCTGCCCGTTGGCTACGCCACCTACTCGGCCCTCATGCACCGCGCCTACGACCAGGGCCGCACCACCGAGCTGCAGCGCGCTGTGGCGACCATCCATGAGTTTGGCATCCGCGTCCCCGCATCGGGCGCCAAGTTCTTTGACCGCGTCGTCGCCGAGCTGCGATCGGCCGAGGGGCAGACGTTCTAGCTTTAAACTGTGCCGTCGTTCAGGCAGGGTGTGTGGGGTGTGTGGGGTGGGGGGGGTTTGATGCAGATCGCCGAGGATGTCAGTCTTATCGAGTCCGCGACCAATGCCGCACATATGGGTAGTCACAGCCCATCCCTGGGAGAACTTACATTTGGTTGCCGGCTTAGTCGTCGCTTCGCTGGCTCGACGGGCTGATCTTCTGTGCCAGCACGTTGTGCCAACTCTCACGATGATCCTGTGCACACGAGCAATCATCGCAAGCTCGCGTACTTATGAGATCAAGGTCGACGCTGTCATAAACCGTCCTCCAAAGGGTGGCTGGGCGGCACTGCCTGTGCCATGCCGCTTCGCGTCGCTCGGCCGGCCGCGGGTGTCGGCGACTCAGGGGCAGTCGCAGCAATGCTCCGCCCACTGCTCTTGCCCCCCTCCCTCCCCCCCCCTCCCATGTCCGTCAGTAGCGGGCGCGCAGGCCAGGCCGCGCTCCGCAAGGTCTCACAGGCAGCGTCGCGGCTACGGTCGTCGCTGCTGGGCGTCCGCCTCGCCCCGACCAACAAGTGGCCGCAGGTCCAGCGCCCGCTGGCTGCCGTCGTCCGTAACCTTAGTGCGCTCTCGACTGCCGCATCCACCGTCAACGAGGTGCCCAATCCTGATGCCATCATCCCGCATACGGCCGGCCTTGCCGTCTTTCCGCGCCAGCTCCCGCCCACTCCAGCCGAGCTCCTCGCCCTCCCCAACTTTCTGGCCTCCAAGCTGCTGCTGGACATGGAGGACGAGCTGACCACCCGATCAAAGGCCCTTGGCCCCTCCCCACCCGACCACGATGCGCTACTTCCTGCTATCCGCACCTACAACTCGTCGCTTGCCGCTGTCATCGCTGCCGTCTCGTCGCACACGGCTGCTACCTCCTTCCGCCTCCGCGTCCCCTCGCGCGTCCGCGCCGTCTACGATGAGAGCGCTGCCCTGTTCAACATGACCGTCGACATGCGTGGTCGCCCTGTCACCTCGAATTCGTCGTCCTCGCAACAGCCGCCGTCACGCAAGCGCGCCCGCCCCACTGATTCAGAGCACGCCGCCGACGACGACGACGAAGACATCATGTCGTCCTCGCTCCTGCCCAACCCCAAGCGCCACAAGCCGCTCTCGGCCTCAACCACACCCGCGCCTCTTCGCCCCTAAGCCGACGCATCCGCCGCTGCCGCCTCCGCGCATCTCCTCGCGCGCGTCCGCCACGCCAACAACGACGAGGACATCATGCCCAACCAACCCCAACCCCAAGCGCCGCAAGTCGCTTTTTGCCTACCCCGCCGCCCGCCGCCACGCACCCAGCCACATGCCATGCACCTTGCCACGCGCTGCATACCCTCCCACACACACAAACACGCCCCCTCACTCCCCCCCCCG